GGGGGGGGGGGGGGTTCCCTGTGCTGTTTACAGAATGTTACGCTTATAGGCTGGCCTGGATGGGGGCAAGGGGACCGGAGACTGCCGCCCAGGTCGGATGCACTGTTGTGGGAGGAAGGCTCCACGCAGCGGCTGGTGGCGCCCTCTGCTGGCCGATGTCGGGACTCTCGCTGGGCTCCCTTGCTCACCGTCAGAACCTCCTGGGCTCCCCGTCCAGGGTCTCGGGCCACTGTCGTGAGTGGTCTTTGATGGCCTGAGTCAGGACCCCCGCACGGACCCCAGCATGAGAGATTGGAACCCTAGGGTTCTGGTGTTGTATGACCTTGCGTCGTCCTCACAGCCTGATCTGCTGTCCGGTCTCCGTGGCTGTCACGAGTATTCCAGGAGCCTAACTGTGTGGGTGTGGGGCCCTGCTGGGTTTCTGGCTGCACGACCACTCTGGCCCTTGGGCCTCGCATGAGCCTGTGCCGCGTTGGTGACGTTTGCTTCCCCCTCCCTTCCCCAGGGTTTTGTCCTTCAATAATCTCACCCGGCTGGACGAGGAGAGCCTGGCAGACCTGAGTAGCTTGAGCATCCTGCGCCTCAGCCACAATTCCATCAGCCACATCGCAGAAGGCGCCTTCAAGGGACTCAAAAACCTGCGTGTCTTGTACGTCGTTCATCGTGGGGTCGACAGAACGAAGGGGTTCCCTGCTGGGAAAGCGGGATAGAGCAAACATGCCACCTTGCCGAGTTCCCTTCTCGTTGCTGTGCAGTCAGATTTGTGCAGAGGGTCAAGCAAAGAACTAGTGAGGCAGAGAAACGTCTCTCGGTCCCCCCGAGGGTGGTGCCGATAGAGGCGACGACTCAAAACCCTGCCGTTACCAAGCGGTAATTCTGCCATGCCCTCGCTGGGATGCCGGGGTCCCCTTGTTGGGAGCAGCCGTGTGGTCCGTCTGTCTAGTCTCGAATCTTCCCCATGTGCTTTCACAACCCGTGTCCAGGAGGCCCAATTTCAAGAGAGGTATCTAGGGCCTCCTCTGTCTTCCCTTGAACTTCAGTAGGGCCATTGAAAAAATAGAGGCACTCATGTCATTTTCTTTCAAATTCCTTATTAGGTGGGGTTGCCAGAAGTTGCTTCAGGATGTTTTCCTGGGAGTTAAGATTTGTCTTTTGTTGGCTCTGGAGAACTTCCAGGCCCCCAGAGAGGGGTGTATGGCTTTCCACGGACAGTCGTAGTAGATCTGAAGCTGCCTTCCCAGCGTGCCCCGCTGCCCGGAGGGCCTGTTCCAGTGTGACAGGAGGCCCTGTGCACTTGCACCTGGCGGGGAGGGCAGAGCGGGCTTCAGTGCTGGGCCGTTGTTGGGGAGTGTGAAACAGCCCGGATGCCAGGCTATTGAAGCCGAGGTCAGCCAGCCTTCGCGCTTGCACGGCCTGAATAACAAGGCCGGGGACATTCAGATTGAGCCAGAAAGAAGAGAAAAGCTTTGGCAGCCAGGGTGAGGAGCTGGGAGACAGGCACACAGAGCGGCAGCCCTGGGTCCCGGCTTTCAGTGTGAAGATAATAAGGAGAGACCCGCTGAAAGGAGAGGTCCCTTCCAGCAGCAGAATCTCGGGGCTCCGAGCCTTCTGCTGTAAGATCAAGGTCAGAAGGAGCACTGTGCCTCTCAGCCGGGGGCCCCCCTCCCTCCTGGCAGTGCTCATTCCTTGTGAAGGCTCCCACGGGGCCAAGAGCAGTGTCCCTTTCTCTTCCTGGCCTGCCTCAGCCAGGGTTTGGCGGAGGAAGGG